TCAATTACATAAATATATAATCACAAAATATACAGTCAAGTCACTTTACATTATATCCTATAAATAATATAAATCTAAGCTGTGAAGTGCTTTGAGACGTCTCAAAGACATGATAAAGCACTTTATCAAACGCAGGAATTATTATTATTATTATCTAAAAAGGAGTCTTTGGTATGGATATGGGAGAGAGGAAAGACAGGTAAATGGGACTGAATGGATGAATGCATTTTTATCTTTAAAAGAGCCAACACAGATGTGATGGGTTGACGGGCTTTCTTCTGTGCAAAAAAAATAATAATTTAGTCCCTCAATCCCCGACTGTTTTGGGACACTACTGAGCGCAATTGGCTGCCATGTTTTTCCCAAAATACAGTCAATCGACTTTACAATGTATTCTGCGAAGCACTTTGAGATGTCTCAAAGACGTGATAAGGCTCTATATCAAATGCAAGTATTATTATTTATTATTATTATACGGTGAAGTGTTTTGAGATATCCTCCCGACATGAAAGGTGCAAAATCAAATTTAAGAATGAATTAATAACAGGACATTCTTTCAAAGGAGAATCTTTGTGACTTTGTCACAAAGTTCTTGGGCCTTCCCTCACCCATGCAACAAGTTTTACTCTCATCTCTATGGAGTACCCGATACATCACCAACACCAGCATCTCAGTGTCCTAGCACTTGCTTCTTAAATCACCACTCTGGTAAGTTCTTAAAAGGAGAATTGGACAGAAACGCTGAAGTAGTTTAAATCTCCTTACTTTGTTTGATGATTTTTTAGAAACAGGGTGAATCAGAAGTCCTTACTCATAGAGTTTTTAATTATGTTTTTTTTTAAAAAAACATTCGCATAGAGTCTGCGGCTAAGTTTTTGTCACCAAGTTAACATGTGTAAACATCCACATGGAATGTAGTTTGAACATCTCACATAGACTTATGAATAAGGACTTTTGATTAACCCTGTATATAAAAAAGGTTTCTCCCCTCCTCTCCTGAAGGGCTTTCTGGACGCATTTCCTTTCTACTGGTGTCCTCTGCTGCCTCACTCAAGTGTCCGTTGATCATACATGAGATGTCGCAGTTTGTGCGGGCAGGCTATCAGCCAGGTCTAATTGTGTTCTGATGGCAATGTCCACCCGCATGCAAGCGCACTTTCAACCAGGGGCAACTGAATAGCAGTCAGGACTGCAAGTTAGGGATTTTTTTTGCCTTCCTGACACCAATTGTTAACCACCTATTTCTAGTCGGATTGAGATAATAATAATCATTATCATCCTTGCATTTGATATAGCACCTTATCACATCCCTGAGACGTCTGAAAGCGCTTCACAGAGTATACGGTAACGTGAATTGACCGTGTATTTAGTGGGAGTAAGATTAGCTAACTCAGCACAGGCCTGAGACCCCACCTGCTCTGTACGTCTCTGCCACTGACTTAAATGAACTCACCGTGTGCTGATTCGCTTTATAATCAGATGGAGACATTTAGGGTTTTTGACATCTTCCAGCCTAAAGCACAGGTTATTAAAATGGGCAACGCCCACACTACCACACCACCGGTGTTTCACACCTAAAGCAGGTGAAGTGCAGCAAAATAGGCGTCAATCCAATGTAACCCAGAAGAAGGATGGGGACAAGAGAGAAAACAGGCGCCTTTCATTCAATCATTCGTTCATTCATTCTAGACCCTTTGTTGTTAGTAATGAAGAATTGATTGTATGCTTCGTTCACCATCAATAAAATGATAGATTTTTGGGGGAAATTTGTGGACAGCCGAATGACCTGTACAATCTAGCCATTCGGTGATTAACCCATCCCCCCCACAATGTAAATTTACCAGGACGCTTCATGCACCCCGGGAAAGGTAGGCAATTCTCTATCGCATGCTAACCAAAACTTATATAAATATATATATATAGATCAGAGAAAGGGGGAAACTCTGCAGAGATAAACCTTAGCTGTAGCAAAGCTGTGTACTTCTTGAATGGCATACAAAAAAACAAAATGAAATATAGGAAATTAATGGAAAATGAGAAAAGCAATAAATAAGCACACACAAGGTTCACCAATTAGCTTTAAAATTTTTATTAATTTTTTTCATAAAGGGACAAAATGGGCATGTGAACAGGATAATGCAGACAACTGCCAAAAACACAGACAGTGGTTTTCAATAGACTCCTGAACTTAACACAGACCAGAAACAAATACAATAAAAAAGCCAGGTTGTAATGACCTTTGGTCATCTAAACAAAAAAAACAAAAAAAATAAAAAATAAAATGAAAAAAGATCAATTTAGTGCATCCGTTTTGAACCGAGCACATTAAGCAATAATAAATAGTGAATCCCATAGTAAAAGATAAATTTCAAGTTACAACAACAGCTTTTATTACAGGAATAGAAAAGGCCAATAACAAAATATTCTGCATTGCCATTTACAAAAAAGTATTGACTTCAAGCGGCTTTTTTAATATGCTTTGCATATGAAATTTTCCCAATCTAAATATAAAGCACCATTTAGTTTTTTTTGGCAATGAAAAAACTGCAAACATTTAAATTTTTTACTGCATATGAAGTTAGATGCTGGAATGTAGTAGGTGAAGAGGTTAGGAGACAGAAGCACACTACAGAACAAACATTAGCTTGCAGTACTGTATTCAGTATGGCAGCAGGATGGAAAAAGATATGTACAACCATCACGCCTCAAACATTGTGGGCAGCATTCCAAATAATTTTCCCCCAAAAAAGCGTCCGTTAGACGGCCCACTTAAAATCTGTACAACGTCGCGGGTCTTTTTTTTGTTGTTGTTTTGTTTGTTTTGTCTTTTTTGTTGAAACATACAAATAATTCGCAACTATATTATCCTGCCAAATTAAAAAAATATACTGTGGCAGCCTGTGTGTTTTTTTTTCCACTACCAAAAAAAAGGTACATCGATATACCTTTAAAGAACAAGCAACAGTTAAAAATACAAGCTTCAATATAAATACTATAGTGCCTACACTAGGTGAACATTTATTTCAAATAACCATTCTAGAAATACAGAAAAGTAGAGACCATAAATGTGTTTAGCATAGGAATCAACGTGTGTGCATTTTCCTATTGTTAAGTACTATATATATAATCTTAATCCTTTCCCCAATGCAAGTTTTATACAACCTGAAGAGAATATTTCCAAGGCAGAGTATCCACTAACTGTATAACATGTAGGAGTCTTAAGAACCACCAAGACACTGACTGGATCCCTAAAATATAGTTCTCCCTAACATAATGAAGTGTTTTTTTTAAAAAAAATCTTACCATTTTATACTTAGAAAATCTGTACAAAAAAATCCTTGCACTGTTATAAGCGAGAGAGATTATTCATTCTAACTGACTGGAGTCATTATCGTCCACTGAAGTGACGTCCTGTTATATCGTATTGCCTTACATTTGTTTCTCCTTTATAAGCTTAGCCAGGTGCACTATTCTTGTCAATGACTGGCAAATTGACACTAAACAACAAAGTTCACTTTTTTTTATTTCTTCTCCTTAGTATTTTAGTAAGTTTATTTTTCCCTTAATTATATGCTTGTAAACTGGGAAAATTGTACAGTGCACTCAATTGTCTTACATGAGCTGTCCTTTTTTTTTCTCTTTATCGCTCAGCCTCTGTAGCCCCTGATTAAAGAAAAGGGCACAGAGGACAAAAGCGGAGTCAAGTGCGATTTAAATACCAGCTGTGGGCAGGGTGTAGGGGGAGGAGGGGGAATGCGGGCGGGAGGTGGGGCGGGGGAAGCACAGGGCACATGGGGCTGGTGCGAGCAACTTTATATCACCTTCGTGTGTGCACAAGTGCCACGAGGTGTGTGAAGGAAGCGGGACTTGAGGAAACAGCAGACAGATGTCACCACGCAAACGCAACACCGTCAAGACCTTTCTCCCTTTCTCTCAGTTTCGTGGCTTTCGTTTTCCATATGTATCGGGAAGCTATCGGTGTCTGAGTTTTCCCGGGGCGTAACTCGGAACCACCGTCACTTGGGTCTGCACAGACCCAAGGTTACTCCTCCAGAGCTTGCTGAAGAATGGGGCGGAAATCAATGCAAAGTTTAAATAGATCCAAGGCACTCGGAAAACATTTTCTTTCTCTCTCCTTTTAACCAAAGAATAGCATTACGCCTAATCATCTTCAGTCTGTTGTTATTTCTTTCCCCCCTCTTCTCCCAGCGACAAGCCTAGCATTTTGGCTTTTTATTTCAAATTCATTATTTTAATCCTTTAAGGACAGGTTTTATTATTCTCTAACCCCTCCCACCCTCCCTCCCTCCCCTTAAAATAACGATAGCGTTAACAGTGTGAATGCCAGCCCATCCAGAGAGGGTTAAACAAAGGACTACAATTTTTTTTAAATTCCGTTTTGTTTTCTGTTTTGTTTCCCCACCCACTTCACCCTCCCCCCCACCCCCACCCCCATCCCCTTCTCGAATCGCTCTATGTTACAACCTAAACTGTACATGATATGTGTTTCAGGACACTATACAGCATGATAGTCTTCTTTTAAAAAGGGACAGAGAAAGGGAAAATATATTTGACGCTAATCCAGGGGACCAGAATAAAATTGCCAAACATACCATACATGCTGTCGAAAAGAAAAAAAAACAATAACATACACCAACACGTAAATTATTGCACAAGAGAAAGGCTCGAGTTTGCGTAAATGCAATAGTATTGCCCCGATACAGATCATGCATTCATCAGTGACGTTAAGACAGGCGTGCTGGGGTGTTAAGCACGTGTTCCTTACGTCCAGCTTCCACTTTTGTTTTTTTTTGATCACGAGAGAAAAAAAATATTTTAAAAAAAGCTATAGGGAAACCTCAGCATTAATACACCTATTCAGTTTTTATATCGTTATTTAACAAGCGCTCGCTGTGCCACTTTTTCATGTGTTTCTCAAGGGTACTATACACGCTAAAAGGCATCTGACAAATTTCACATTTGTAAACGTCTTTCCCCACCTGACCGTGCGTTTTCATGTGTCGCGTGAGCTTGCTACTCTGGGCACAGGCGTAGTTGCACAGCTCACATTTGTATGGTCTCTCGCCCGTGTGACTGCGCCGATGGACTGTGAGATTGCTGCAGTTCTTGAAGACTTTGCCGCAAAACTCGCATGTGTCACTCCGCCTGCCCTCTTTGGAGCTGGGTCTCCCGGGGCCGGTGATGTGGGGCGTGCTCCCTCCGCTTCCCGTGCCGCTCCGACCCGAAATCCCACCGTCCATCTCTCCCGGGGGAGTGGAAAAGCGCAAGCTGCCGTTCTCCGACGAGTGCTCGGACGAAGTTGCGAAAGGCGATTGTCTGGAGTCTCCGAAGCTGAGGAAGGGGTCTTTCATCTGGCGGGAGGCAGCGTAGCCTGCCAGCCACTGGGAATAAACATTGTCCGCGGGGGCCAAAGGTGCTGAGGGCAAGTCAAAGTCTTTCTCGAGTTTGATGCGTTTGGAAAAGGGGCTGAGGGAGCTGGGGCTCCCCAGCAGGGGCTTCTTAGACAAGCCGCCCGAGGCCGACTCGCCGGGAGAGGACCCCCGGCCGTTGACGGTACCGTCGTCGTTGCGTTCGAATTCGCCCGCCACGGAGTCCTCGTCGCAAGTGTCCCTGTGGACCTCCGTCTCGGGCAAGTGGTGCGTCCGCTTGTGTTTCTCCATCAGCGCCTGGTGGAAGACCTCTCCGTAGTGCTGGATGGCGTTCATGGCCATGCTCTGCATCACATCAGGCATCGGCCGCTTCTCCTCCAGCGCCCGCGAGCTGTTCTCGTGGTGCCGGCCGCCCTCCAGCCCCACGCTGAAGGCAAACTCGGGCCTGCTCTCGTGCTCGCCTCCTTCTTCCTCCTCTTCCTCCTCTTCCTCTTCTTCCTCCTCCTCCTCCTCTTCCTCCTCTTCCTCCTCCTCCTCCTCCTCGTCCCCGTTCTCCGGCACCCCGTGCCCGCCGTCCGATTCGCTCTTGAACTTGGCCACCACAGACTTGAGGGCACTGCTGGCACTGCCCACCAAGTCGCTGGTGCCCGGCTCGGGGGAGCTGGCCGCCGACAGGCCGTCGTCCGACTTGACGGTGACGGGCGAGGACTTGTGCATATGGGTCTTCATGTGACGCTTGAGCTTGCTGGCCTGGGTGCAGGCGTGGTCGCACAGGTGACACTTGTACGGTTTCTCCCCGGTGTGGCTGCGACGATGCACGATCAGGTTGCTCTGGAACTTGAAGCTCTTGCCGCAGAACTCGCACGACTTGCTCTTGAGCACGGCGGCCGCCTGGGAGGCTGGCGAGGGGGAGGGCTGCACGGCCGAGGAGGGCAGCGGCGGTAAAGGAGGCAGCGGAGGGGGAGGGGGAGTGCTCAGGAACGGGGACTTGCCTCCCGGCTGGTGGAATGGTTGCAGTAGCCTTTGCATAGGGTTGGGACGGCCGGGCGAGAGCGGAGGGGTGGAGGTGTTGCCCGCCAGCTCCCGGAGCCGCCGGGAGAAATCCATGGCTGGCGGCTCGAGGGGTAAGGAGTTCAGGCGCATCACTCGGTCGAAGGCGCTGGTATGGTGGACGGCCGCCAGCGCCATCTCCTCCGCGCTCAGCCGGTCCATGCGGTGGGGATCCAGGTGGTGGCGGGGCGGGGGGCTGAAGAGCGGGGGCGTAGGGGGGAAACGGCCTTCGCTCAGCCCCGAAGCTTCCCGCGAGACGGGCCCCGACACTCGCAGCATGCTGAAAGGGTTGCCGTCCGCGATGTGCATCCCGTGAAGCGGGGGCTGCGGGCCGCAGTCAGCGCCTAGTCCTGAAGGAATGCCCACCCGCGGGGTCAGGGGGCTCCCGTGCTCCGTCTCCAGGTAGATTCGGAATCCGTGAGTGTTCTGGGCGTGCTGAAGGAGAAACCATGCGCTGGTGAATGGCTGTTTGCAGGTTGTGCAAGTGTAACTGCTCGGCTCATCCTTTCCTGCAAGAGAGAACAATGCCAGCGTGAAGGAGACTGAACGCCCAGGGATCGCAAGGTCACAAAGATCGGTTTCGGACGAAGAAGGCCCTTCGGCCCGTCTGATCAAATCCCTGTGCAACACTCATCCTCACCTCCCGTTTCACAGCATCGAGCTGCTTTTTATACAAGTCCAGCACCCTGTACTCACCCATTTTTGCAACATGCTCCAAACAACAACTTGCATCGATATTATTATTACATTTTTATTAATAATTATGATATTATAATAATAATCTGTACAAGACATTCCCACGACTGATTGTGGGACGCTGCTGTACGCAATTTGGCTGCTGCATTTTGCCCACAAAATATACAGTCAATTCACTTTACAATATATTCTGTGAAGTGCTTTAATGAGATGTCTCAATCACGTGATAAGGCGCTATATCAAATGCAAGGATTTTTATTATTTGATATAGTGCCTTTCATGGCAAAGCTTCTCAAAGCACTGCTCGCTGAGTATTATTAAGCTTAGTGACTGTATATTTTGAACGCAAAACACAGCAGTCGATTTTGCTGACAGCACAAACAGTCATGAAGTGAAATGACCCTTTTTTTTAATCGTGCAGGGGATTTTTCAGCCAAGACACCAGGAGAAACTTCCCTTCTCTTTCTCGAGCAGTGTCATGGGATGTTTAACATCCAGCTGAAAAGTAGACCGTATGAGGTCAATTCTCCGACGTGGAGCTTGAATCCACGACTTTCTGAATCGGAGGCGAGAGCTTGTGAGCCAGGCTGACACACCTGTCAATGAGAACCAGGTTACACTTGCGCACAAAGTGAGGTAACCAGAGGATAAGAGACACCTGGGAAAACTTTGGGAATAGTTAAATAGGGCAGAGATTAAGTGACAATAAGGAAATCATTACTTTTCTATGAGGGAGGCCCAGTTTCTCTTTAAAAGGAAGCTGGCTTCCACTGTGACAGCATCACGTCTGTACAGTGGGGTGTCGTTTCTTTTAAAAGAATAATTTGCATAGCTGTGAAGTATTTAAAAAGTCTTTTACATCAGAATGCCTGAGCATTAATATGAAACTGCATGATGACAAAATCAATCAACTCTCATTTTCTCTCTCTCTCTCTCTCTCTCACTTTCTCTCTATCTTTGTCTCTCTCTCTCCCTCGAACCATTGACTTCACGTTTCAACACTGTGAGATCTTTGTAACAAGACATTTTCATCAGGTGCGCCTGATCAACAATCCCCCAGATAAAAATCAGTTCACTCACTTCATGGCTGTGTGTGTGACATTGCTGCACGCAAATTGGCTGCTGCGTTCGCCTACAAACACATACAGTCACGACATTTTACAGAAAAAGTCTGTGAAGCGCTTTGATATGTTTCAATGTCATGGTAAGGCGCAGTACCAAATGCAAGGATTATTATTTTTACATAGCAGATTGGATTGTCAGGACAGCTTTCACTAACAGAACCTCAGTATCTATTGTTCACATTAATGTCCATACTTTATCCATTTTAGTGAATATGCTGGATTATTTCACGTTGGATATTAGAATAATAAACATGCAGGACTACACAAACCCCATCTTCCCCAATAGTCAGAGGTGGTGTCAGGCTCTGTTTCAAAATGAACATCCTTTTATTTGAAGCTCAAAGATGGAGAGATGGAGCATGTAAATTAATTTTAAGAATATGTGTTCTTAATCTAAGGCTAAGAACCTATATTTGCTCAATCCACTGTACTGTCCTTTGCCTTTTAAACCACTTAATTTTAGTGCTAGCAAGCAGACTTTGTTAAATGAAAGTAACTAATTCTTCAAACACTTTGCAATAAGAAAGGACTGAAGAATATCCAAGTGATTCACAGTAATTACTGCCATGTGTAGTGACTGTTTTTTGAAGGCAAATGGCACAGCAGCCGTGATGTTAATGATCAATTACAAACAGCCGTCGAATTAACCAATTTTATCTGGGGAACTGTTGGCCAAGACACTGGGAGAAACTCCCTTCTCTTCTCATCCAGCATCACAGGATCTTTAACACCCACCTGAACAGGTGGAAGGGTTTTACTGTGAAGCGCTTTGAGACATCCTCCCAAACTGGAAGGCGTTTTATCAGACGTAAGTATTATTATTGTTATTATTATAAAGTGCTTGTAAAGAGCAATTGCATCAAAATCTCAAATCAGTTCCCGATTAGTTAGCAGTCAACACTTGTGCACACCATTAAGGAGGCATCTGCTCTAAGCTATTTCTAGGGGAACATACACAATTCAGTACTTCTGATACATTTAGACTGCACTCCAAAGACTGCAGTCACATCCCAACCTTTTTCTCTATTTGCCACATTCATTCCTTTCATTTAAAAGGCACATTCCGAGGCGAGGAACAATGAATCCATTTGAGCGACCAAAGAAACGTCTGAAAGAATAATCATTTTTGAGTGACACCCCATTTGACCGCAATTTGAAACGCATTGAAATGATAAACTTTTTTTATACATATATGCCCAACTCTGTCATAATTTTATTATTTTTACCCGGACCATTTAAAGAATTAGATATTATACTCAACTATGAATTACATTTTTTTCTTTTTTTTATTCAAAAAGTTAAACAAACAGACAAAAGATGAAACTTCAGGAAAAGGTCTTGTCTATTTACACTGCTTTCTTGTTTCTCAGGTCCATTGTAAGTCATGCAAAAAGGTTTTTTTTTAAATTCTAGGTAATTGTGTTGAGTCTAAAAAATGCTGGTAAGGGCATTTCTCAGCAGTCTGTCAAGGCATATCCTGTCTTCATCAAATACCTCTTGTACCAGATGAAAAGAGAAAATATCCATTGGGAGGAATCAATAGAGTAAAAGGATTCGACCACGAACACTGAAGGTGGGAACTCTTAAAGAGCCTTGCTCTCTTTTGGGCAGCAGAATGCTTGTAACTGACACTGTCGAAATATTATATAAATAGTGATCCTTGCATTCGATATGAAAGTAATAATAATAAAACAATCCTTGTATTTGATACAAGAGCATTATCAAGTCATTGAGATGTCTCAAAGTGCCACACAGGACTTACTATAAAGTGTAGTTAGTGACGGTGTTTTTGTGTGTACGCAAACGTCTTCCAAACAGCTGTCAAATTAACAACCAATTTTACCCGGAGGAGGGGTGGCCAATGAGTTTGTTAATGTCCGCCTGAACTGGCAGACAGGACCTTGCCAGCACCTGTGACATGCAATGCTTCCCCAGCACTGCGCTGAAATATCAGCCGAGACGACAAGCTCAAAATCCCAATGTGGGAACACACAGCCTTCTGACTGTTGAATGTAAAGAGATGCTTCTTCCTAATTTATAATTTTGCAAAAAAAGAATAATTTTAAATACAATTTCAAGGTGTGAGCTGATTCTCTTCATCTATAACATTTCTCCACAGGAAATGGAATGAACACTTTGTGGGAAATAACTTCTCTTTCATTTAAAAGAAAATTATTTCTATACTTAGGAATACATTGGAGTCCTGTAGCTCAGTGGTTAGAGCACTCGCTTTGCAAGTGAGAGACCTGAGTTCAATTCCAGGCAGAGGGCGAAACCATGGGCAAGTTTCCTTACTCCACACAGAGCCTAATAATAATCCCTCCAAAAAACAAAACAATAATAAATTGGTCATTTTCAATCTATGACTGTTTGTGGGACATTGCTGTGCGCAATTGGCTGCCGCGTTTGCCCACAAATATATAGTCAATTCACTTTACAGTGTGTTCTGTGAAGCGCTTTGGGACGTCCTCCCGACGTGAAAAGCGCTATATCAAATGCAAGGATTATTATTATTATTATTATTATAGAGGTGAGAGTGCCACTGACTGAGTAACTTGCTGACACCTGAACAGTTTAAGGACCGTGAAAGAAACGTACAGAGTCAAGTAGCATGTGATTTCAGTCAGATCTGAGCCTTCGCCATCAGGTCTCACAGGGCGAACACTGTAAAGCCGTCCAGCAAACAACACCTTTACATTGAGAACTGCCTGACCAGGCCTCCCGATCCACCAAACAAAAGTACAAGAAGAAGCCGCAACAACTGGAATTTCTGCCTCTCGTATTTCTCTTCTCCTCGTTGAAAGGGAAAAAGCACTAAATCATGCACTGGATTTTGTTGCCAGGAGATTCTGTATGATTTACTGACAAGAAGGGCTTGACAGTGTTGTCCCATTAACCCCCGGGGCCTGGGATTGAACCCAGTCCAAGCAGATGTGTTGAACACCTTCCTTGCGTCTGATGCCTACCGAGGGCCACAGGGGAGTACAGAGCAAGCTTGGGGGATTGGCTCGTCCCAATGCACTTCCCACCAGAGGTGATAAATCTGGCCTCACAATTCACGCGCTTGGCAAAGGGAAAAACAAAGCAAAGGATTTTTTTAATATACGTTTTTGAGCCAGCGGCGCTAATCCCACATGACCTACTGTGCAAGGGAAAGACACGCCCTCCAAACCCTGTGATTCTGCACACTGTAGGTTCCCGATCCTAACCGGGCCAAACAACAGAAGTTACCAAAGTTCAAGTTATTCAGGCTGCTCCCACGCACCCTATTGGTGCCCAGTTTAACACTAGCCCATTCCGTTTGTTGGATCGGGCACTGTGAATGAGGGAAATATAACGTATCAAGAAAAGAAAGACTTTCAAAGTAAAAGGAGAGATAGGAGGAAAGAATCTTTCCCCAATTCTACGGATTCTAGGTCCTTGGGCTTTTCCCTTTGCAAACTGACCAAGACTGGGTAGAAAGGTCCACATAACCAGCTTTGTGGTTCATGCCTCTGACTGGAATTCCACACACAAGTGGCAAAGCAACTATCTTATTAATAATGAGATAAGATATTATTAATGATTGTTATTATTATTATTAATAATAATCATCATCTTCTTTGCATGTGATAAAGCACCTTTCATGTCTCAAAATATTTTGGCTTGGACTCCACACCACTGCACAAGTGGCAAATAAACTATCTTAT